CTGAATCCAGCACACCCTCTAAGTATCTATCTGACTGGGGCTTACCCTTAAATTGCAGTTGTGGTTCTCTCCTTGTTCACTTCTTGCATCTGAAATGAGATGTTCATCATTTTGCGTGATGGCCGCAGTACTTTTCCAGAAGAAGCAGCCTCTAGGCTGGACTTTTTTTAGCCCAAGGAAATTTGAGCCTACATCTGTAACTCTGGTGGTTGCTAACAGGGAGGCTATAGGGTCATCTAGTCCTCAGACCGTGCACCCACCATCACTTCTGTGGGACCAGGGGGACTTCACCAAAAGCAAGGTGATGAATAGGATACAAACAGGTCCCCCGTAAAAGGGCTGCTCTTGTGTTGTGGCTGGTGCACAACTTTCTGAGGGAGGGCCAGGCGTTGATGTGGCACGGTCTCTGACAGCGCTGTTATTTCCCAGGGGTGGAGAGGGATGAGGGCTTAATTCACACCGTAAGTATGCAGGCTGATAGAAACGTTACTCACTCTTTCTCCATTAGATCACTACTGTATCTTCCACAAGGCTTCTTCTAGCTCCTCCATGGTTTTGCTGTCATATCAGTGCTGATTAACAGGGAGTTTTTATTCATGGGCTGATCTGGAGGTGTAGCTTCCTTTCACCTGTGCCTTCCCTGGGGGATGGAAGGGAACCAAACTGCTCTTCCCTGCAGCGCTGCCCGGGGGGGATGTTGCCAACCCTTCACCCATCTCTGCTCGCCTGCTCCTTCTTGCCCCGTGGTTAGGAAAAGCGATGTCTGTTGTCCAGTATCACGGCTAGCTTAGGGATGCTGCCCTCCCATCCCTGCACATCGGCTGTAATGTGCTGTCCTCTCAGCACTGCCAAGAAGAATTCAATTTTTTTTAGATGAGTTTCTTCACTGGTTTGGTTCGCAGTGTATCAGCAAAGCTGGCCTGCAGGCTACACCTGGAGGGGCACTGTCTGCCCCGGCTGTGGGCAGGACAGAGCACCCAGGGGATGAAACGTATTTAAACCGCCTTTGTCCCAGACCCTCTTGTACTTTGCGTTTGCCCTGTGCCAGTTTTCAACAGTTCGTGGTGTTTGCCTGGGCACCCGTATCTACCTGACCCTGCCTTTTCACACTGAAGCACGAGTCTGGAAAGTCAGGCTTTTTATTTTCCTGGTGCCTAAAATTTACAGGGAAACCCGTACTGTAAAACTCAGCTTCAAACGCAAGGAGAAGGCTTTCATGGTTTCTTGGTATTTGGTTTTCCAGCCGCTGGATGTCAGTGCTGCTCCACTGAAGAAAGGCTATTCCCGCTTCCTTTCCGGTGGGCATGAGGGGAACCAGCAGAGGCTCTTGATTTTTGTCCCTCAAATAATTGAGCAATGTTTGAATTTCTTGGGAAAATTGCCACAGAGATGAAACCATGCATTAACTGTGTATGTCTAAAACAACTGCTGTGTTTCAGTCCTCCTAATTCTCTGCACGACAAGAGGCTGGATTGTGCCTCGGAGTTACTGCAGCCTGTGGGAGTTTATGGACTGGATGAGTCTGTCTGTGGACTGTCCAGTGAGTGAAATAAAACCTCTGGAAAAAAACAAAAATGTGATCTTACTAAAGGTATAAATGTAGTGGTTTTATGACTTGCGAATGGCACATTTAGCACCACATGATTTTTCAAGGCTAAAAAGTAAAATGTGCTGACAGATTTGAGGAGATTAAGTTGGGTATATAGCAAAAAGCCTGTCTAGACCTTTGGTTTTAGGTTTTAAAAGTGTATTAAATACAGATCAAAAAATGCTTATAAATCATTCACAGGTGTGTTGTTCAATTTAGGCTTTTGAATAGGTTTGGCTTTTTTAAATTACGTTACTTACCGTCTTTCATCCTTATGCTCTTCACCTTTTTTTTTCCTAAAAAATGCTCATCTACACTACAGGAAATGGGAAAAACAAGTAAGCAAAAGATTGAGGCTTTTTTCAGTGTTTGCTTTGCTGCTTTTGTTGAGGGAAGTCTGAAATACTATGGCTGACTGTCTTTTAATTGGAGGGCAAAAATGTTTCCTTGCCAAACTTGTGAAGGTGTAGGTCAGTGGCCCAGTGCAACCTGCCACAGATACTGCCTTCTCCTTTGAGGCAAAAGGTACTGTTTTCCACTAACTTTTACATGGAGCTCTTGAATGGCATTCAGCTGATGTGTCAATTTTGAATGTATGGCATCGTCTTTTCCTCCATCTTAACACAAGTGTATTCCCAGAATTAATCCAGGGGATTGTATTTGTAGAGCAACCAGTTCTGTTATCAGTCTGGGTTGTGGTTTAACCTGGCAGGCAGCTCACTACACAGCCATTCGCTTGCTGCCCCCACTCCTGCCCAGATGGTATGGGGGAGAGAATCGGGGGTGGGGGGCAAGTAAAATTCATGGGTTGAGATAAAGACAGTTTAATAGGACAGAAAAGGAAGGGAAAATAATAATGTTGATAAAAATATACAAAATAAGTGATGCACAATGCAATTGCTCACCACCCACCTGACAGATACTCAGCCAGTCCCCAAGCAGTAGCCCCCATGGATCTTTCCCTGGAGTTTATATGCTGAACATGATGTCATATGGTATGGAATGTCCCTTTGGCCAGTTTGGGTCAGCTCTCCTGGCTGTGTCCTTTCCCAGCTTCTTGTGCCCCTGCCCCCCCAGCCTCCTTGCTGTCAGGGCAGCATGAGAAGCTGAAAAGTCCTTGACTTAGTGTAAGCACTGCTTAGCAACAACTAAAACATCAGTGTGTTATCAGCATTATTCTCACCCTAAATCCCAAACACAGCACTATACCAGCTGCTGTGAGGAAAATTAACTCTCTCCTAGCTGAAACCAGGACAATCTGTCATTAAACGTGATGGAGAATCTTTGTTTTACGCAAACAGCTTAACACACCTAGGAACCATATCCCTTTTATCTTTGCACACAGCTAAAGTTGTCGACAGCTTAAATTCTTGTGTTACCAGTGGAAGTATTGTGATCTGCAGTCAGCTCAAGCCTTTTGAGAGGGATCTGTGGAAGGCGGGCATCAGTGGCCTGAACCATGCATTTTAAACAGTCTACTCAGGCATAAAAACAATTGCGCTGGAGGATTTTAGTCAGTAGACTGTACTTGTAGAGATGACTGCCTAAGGAAAGAAATGCCTTCTTAGATCAGTCTTCGTTATAGACTGTTTTCTGTAATTTACTTTTCCCACAGGACCAGAATTAATAGTACATTTCTACCAGATACTTTTTTTCTGGTGGGTGAGAAATATGTATTGATGCTGTTACCTGACAGCAGGTGAAATACATCCTTCTTCCCAAAAGAAATGCTCTTGAAATACCTCTAGATCTGTCATCTGAGTTCCTTAACTTTAGTTTCAGAAACTCTGTTAACAGATTTCTGGTGATTAAGGCAACTTCTTTTCAAACACAGGAATGTTGCTGTGCATTTAAGCTTTTTATGGCATGTAGAGAAACATAACTATGGAAGTGTGCATCTGTAAGTTTGAAAGTTTCTGTTTGTCAGGAAGTTTGTTAACACATGACAGTTGTCTTTGCAAACTCTGGATTCTCTAGAAGAAACTTTACTTGCTGAAAGATGAAAAAAGGAAGTCTTTCCCATTGAAATCAAAAGTGCTATGTTTGGGTTTGCAGACAGGAATTCTATTATTGTAGTTGTAAAAGGGGCTAGTGATCAAGTAGGGAAACTTCCAGGTTAGGAGGTGCTTGGTCTGGTTGTAATTAGAGAGACCCTGAACAGACTCATTTAGGGATGCAGCTGGGGAAAATGGACATCACAATTGCAAATGAGATGCATAGCTGATACATGTGATTAATAAACATTGGAAAGTGTGGACTGAATTGCTTGTTTCTAAATCACCTGTAATTCCTCAGGGAATAAGAAAAAAGACCTGTGTCCGGGTTCACAGTAAAGGGGAAATGCAGACTGTTTTAAATGGATACAGAAGTGCTTTTTGTGCTATGCCCAGCTGGAACCCTGATTGGGTTTGGTGGCTTTTTGGGGTGGGGTTTTTTTTGCTACGTATGTTATACCTGGAAGTTTATCTGTGAGTAATGAATAGTGAAGATGGCACCTTGGCTGCTGTGGGATTATATTTTTCCCCACAAGCAGCGATGCTTTGCTGATAGTTGTTGCAAATGGAGATGATAGTTTTATGCAGAGCAGCTGATATGAGCGTTTTACATGATGCTGCTGCTGTAGTTTTAGCAAATTACTGTGTTTAAATATATTTTGTTGTGAAAGGGCAGAAATTAACAACTTTGTATTGTCTTGCCACAGCAGTTTTTGTAACGTTGCGAATTAGGCAGATTCTGCACATGGACTGTGTAAAACCAACAGAAACACTTCACAAGCAGCCCTCCTACTGGGTATATCTGATTTACAGAGGCTTAAAACACCAAAACCCATCACTGTTGTGTCTTATGCCGCAGATGAGCCAAATGCCCATCCCATCCCATCTCATGATATCCCATGGTTTGGAGAAGACCCTCATCTTGGCAGAGACTAGGGCTTTTCTTCCACTGCTCTCTCCTGGTTGCACAAGCAGTAAGAGGGGTGTCTTTCGATGGGGTCCATGAGATGCCACCCACCTGCGCGTGTGGCTGTTGGGGCAGGAGTCGTCATTCACCTGCTAATCTCTCAGGAGGAGAAAAGGCTCGCCGGATGGCAGCCAGGTGCTACTTGGGCCTTGTACCTCAATGATGCACTTAGGCTCTGTAACCTCTTATATCCTGTGTCTCTTTAAGCTGAAGGATAGCCATCAGTGAAGATTTCATTTGCACGATCTTGTTGTTAAGCTGTTCTGTAACTCATAATGTGAAAACTAATAAAATCACATCTTTTTACAGGTGCAAGTACTGGCATTATGATGATAACCTGCTCACCTCCAGCGTTGTCATTGTCTTCCATAATGAAGGATGGTCCACACTCATGAGGACAGTCCACAGTGTCATTAAGAGAACACCAAGGAAATACTTGGCAGAAATTGTCCTGATTGATGATTTTAGCAACAAAGGTATATTTGGAATATTAACACACTACTTCATTTGTTTTAAAAACGGTTTTCTTTTGATTTATTACTTGCCATGGATTGAGTTGACTCTGCAAGAAAAGTAATCTGCTGCTTCACAGTCCTCCCAGTTTTCAGTGAAGGGAAAGCTCTTTTCCGATAAACTGTTTCCATAAAGATGGCAATCCTTTATGTGTCTTCAGCTGCTTGAAGTGCAGGATTTGTGGTGGGTTCTCTTCCACAGTTGCAGAGCAGCATACAGCAGAAAGCATGAAGTAGCTAGTACCTCTCTTAACGGCTTGTTTTCGCAAGAGCTTTAAGAGTGTTGAGGAGTGTGAGTTAAGCCTGAGTTCTTTCGGTTTTTTTGGTTGGGTTTTTTTTTCCCTTCACTATAACAAAAATATTTTTAAGGCTATTGAATTCTTCTGATTAATTTTCAATATCATTTTAACTTCCAAGATTATTTTTTAATTAAACGTAGTGTTAAGGTGTATATCGTTTGTTATTGGGGGGAGGGGCTTTTAAGAATTTAAATGTGTTTTCATTTCTGCTTTTCTTTGTCCTGCATATCAACATTTTCAGAAGTCCAGAGATTTTCATCTTCCTTTATAATATACATTCTGGTCTTTCTTTATTTTAAGGATGTATATACTTATACAATGAATTTTTCCTTTAATGATGGTATTTTGAGCATGAGTGCAAATCAAGGCTGAATACAGAGAAGAACTGAAAGCGGTATGCTAAAGATACAAGATGTTTGATATAGAGGAAATCTGCCTGGTTTTAAACAAGTTTCAAAACAGTGCCGCAAAGCTGCACATGCTGCAAGGTTTTATTGCAGGCTAGTTCTTGAATACAAGTTGACAAAGAGCAGATGCACAGTTAAAAACATAACTGAGTGTGCAGGATGACAGTCTTTTCTAGACGGTGGTGGCTTTTAGGACCCCGGGGAAGTTTGGTCAGCAGCATAGGATACATTCCCTTTACCCTCTGTTTTTATAATGCTGAATTGGGTAGTGGCATGGAAAGCAGATGACTGTTTTGAAACTCCGTTTTATCAAGGGATCTGGGCTCCTACCAGTTGCAGCCTCCCAGGAGTAGTTGTTTTCTGCAGCTATACCCACTACAAATTTTAAAACCAAACTCATCACGTAGTCAGGGTTGCCTTTTGTGAGTATAAATCGCTATTAAAAGTAAGGTTTGTTATGTTAATTTTTGTATCATTTTCCATTTGTTTTCACAGGAGAGGAAAAGTTACCTGTATTGTAAACTTGACTACGTCTGGGTTAGTCTAAGAAAGATATTGACCACTGCATTAGACTCTCCTGTATCCTATTACAGCTTTTGAGAATTTGGCTTAGACGTTCACATATGCTATAAAATAAAAATATCTTCTCTCCTAAGGAATATAATTTTAATAATTCAGTCAGCAGATATGTGCTGTGTTTTTCCTTTTCAGCTTGCATTATAGCTTTCCTTAAGAGCTATTCAAGGACTGAATTAGCTGTATAAAATAACCGTGGCACAGATGTTCTCTAGAAAAGCTACCAGATTTTTATTTTTTACTGATGGTTGGGCTCAGTACTTGGGTTTCACATGAGTTGTTGCTGACTCTGTGCTGTGTATATGTAATTCAGGGAATTAATTTGTGTGGCATAACAACTCATACTGCAGTTTTCCAATACGTGACGATTGTTAAAGGCAGTGTTTTTTAAGAAATTTATTTTGAAATACAGAACTTTATGCTCTCTGCTCATACGTGAATGGTTAGCAGATACAGCTCTCCTGGACCTAACATCCAGCAGATCGTTGTCTCTGTTTTTCCCACACTTCGTTATCCAAATAACTCTCTTGTATCAGAAAAGCAAGCTCAAGATGGAATTTTCTCATGTATGAGTGGCTGGAAAACAAGCACGGACTGGAATGGCTCTGAACACCTTGCTGCAGCTGTACTGTTTCACTATAATAATTCTTCAAACTGCTTCAGGCTATTACTTGGTAAACATAATTGACTTAATCTCAATAATTCAAACTCAATTCTAGATGAAAAATGGCTGAGAGAGTAGAATATTGCTCCACTTCTTTCTCCCCAGAGAGAAGCACGAACTAGTATGGGCCGCGGAGTGTGCCAAGTCACCTGAAGAGATCTCCAGTTGTTAGGAGATCTGCAAAACGCAAACACGCTTAATCAAAGCAGAGCTGCTGGTGGCTTTTTGCTTTCTCAGCCAGAGGAAAAGCAGTGCTGACAGCACAGATACAGAATTTTCTCCTTCCCCACCTGCTTTCAGACTGCACGCTTCATATCTGCCTTTCCACCCCGCAAATTGTGTCTTACGGTCTTGGGGAGCAGTTGCAAGGCTTGGAAAACGTTCTTTTCATTGTCATTCTTTGTATCAAGTCGGTTGGGCGCAGTCTTTTCGCTGAACAACTCTCTCTCTTCCGTAATCTCTTCTGCAAACAGCAGGTTTGACTCTGGAGGGATGTGCTGAAGTCTGCCTGGGCATCTCTTCCTTTGCCCAAGGGCAGAAGGAGCAGTGACAGCAGGACGGCGCCAGGCTGTTTGAATGATGCTAGTTCTGATCTCGGCAGTGGGGACCGCTCTCTTCGTGCGCGCTGAAGTCCACGGGGTGTTGCAGCAGCTTCTGCTGCACTGTCAGCGTGGGTGCCCTGCTGCACGGGTCCCCGTTTTTCTTGTTTGTTGATAGAAACGGTTTGTTTTGCTGTGTGTGCTAGCTGTTGGGAGGATCCAGCTGTTCTGGAAGGGCGGTGAGAATTCCCAACACCACATTTCCAGAAGCTCCCTGCAGTTGTGTGTGTAGGTCTTCAACGGCTACTTGTGACATGTTTTCTGAAGCGTAGAGGTCGGTATCTCAGCTGGTGCAGCCTGCTTTTGTAGCCTCTTCACCTCTCAAGGGTGACTGTGGGGTAAATACCACTGCTCACAGCAGCGTTGAAAGGCTTTGTCCGCCTTTTGCGTTCACTCGTTTGTTCCTTTGGCACTGTCTGTATTTCCCACTGACGCAGCATCCCAAAAGATAACCAAAGGGGCAGTAAGGAGCGTAGGCAGGTAACAGCATTACCTGGTGCTTGGGTTAGAGCTGAGAGCCCCATGTGAGAAGTGCTACAGTACGGAGGACTCAGAGACAGATGCCTTAGGGAGGGCTTGTGATACCATTTTCCTAGTTCTCAAACTGACATCCATGAGTTGAGGGGGAAAAAAAGGCTTTCCTCCTCCCTCCCCCACCCCGCAGCAATCTGTAGTGCCCAAGGTCATTTGGAGAAAGTATGTGTTTTTTAGAAAATACTGGTGCATGCACTAAAACATGAGAGAAGAACCCAAACAAGGGAAGACCGGATTGGTGGTCATAATACTTTTGAAGGGTAAAATATACATTTTTGAACAAAAACCAGAATGCTGAAGACTGTTGACAGATAGCATAAATACATGTTCTAGGTGAGTAACATTTAACACTGGCCAAACCATATTTCTAACTGTGAAAGTATCGGGATTTTGTACACTACTGTCATGCAGTCTTTATAGTATGGGATGGGGGGAAAATTCAGTTTTCCTGTGAGAAATAGCACTTGCTGCTAACCCTGGCAACGTTTCAGATAATGGACTGCAAAGTCCTGAGACTTGTACTGTAGAAGAGCTTTACACTGTCAATATGACGGGGTTTTACAGCTCCCTGTGAGCCTTACATGGTTGCACGTTTGATAACTAAAACATTCGGCTTCATAGGCAGGAGACCTGGAAATAACTTCAGGATTTAAATCTTTAAAACATTCCTGACAGTCCTTCTGTAACATTTACTTGAAATTTGATTCTCTTAGTACCACTTCAGCATGATCTCATACCTCTATTGAATTTATCCTATAAAAATTTATCTCACAGCTATCATATCATATATATATTCTATATATATTACATGGCATGTTGTTCCATACAGCATATGTGATAGAATTGTTCTTTCTCTAGTTTGATCTTTATGTATCCTTGGAGTTTTCCTAACGCACAAGGATTTACAAAAGAAATTGTAAATGTCTGTAGGAAAGGAGAAGAGGAAGCGTAAAACTTTTAGTCAAGAAAACTTACTCTTTTATAAAGGTGCAGAGGAGGGATGATAAGAGTATTAAAAGGTAGCGGTTTCAGAAGATTGTTCTTTCGTAGAATTGCTGAGTTTTCGAGTTTGGGACCTTCGCTTCCAAAAACTACGATTTCTGTTTCAATTACTTCTATGTACCTTTGCTTAAACTAGAATTTTTTTAATACGGTTGTCAAGAATATAACACATACTGAAACTTAAGTTGCAGCAAGCTCCAGACTTCAGTCATTTTCATTGAGGGTGTGGGAAATGTTGCTGCCCAAGCAACCTGATGGCTTGCTGCTGCTGGAAGGGACATCCTTCTCCTTCCACCTCTGCACATCCATGCTCCCGTTATAGCGGCACAGGCATGGCACGCAGCTGCCCCGCGGGGCTGATCATGTAGCTTAGGTGCCTTAATTCGGTTCCCAACTGAGAGAAGCTGAAGCTGTAGGCAATTCTTTTGAGCCTTTCCATACAAAAACAGATTTTTAAATGAACACTGGTAGTTAAACAGTCAAACAGCAAGCGCTGACTGCCAGCACTTCTGCCTTCGTCAGTTTTCTCAACAGAATCATCTGTGCAAAAATATTACACAGCACCAAGATCCTTTTTTCAAACTGGGTAGTAGGAATGTGGTTTCCAGATTAGTTTGGACCAGTGTGCAAATACAAATCTGTAACCATTTAAGCATAGCCCATCTCAGTCCTTACGCGGTTACTCGCCCCTTTACTGACCCTTTGGCTAAAGGTTTCCTGTCTCATCAGTATGATGAGCCACAGCTCGTTCACTTAAATTCTGGCCCTCTAATTATTATTAATTTCATTAGAAGATTAGCATAAGACCACCCCATCCCCAAGAGGGAACAGGTCTGCGTGAGGGAGGGCACTGATTTGAGTATGGTAGGTTTCTGTCTCGGGTTTCTGGATTCAGTAGACCGATAGAAAATTTTGTGAGGCAGAAAGTGAGTGAAATGTTCAACTGGGAAATGGTGTCTTCAACTGTACACGTGATGTGATGAGGAAAGACTGTGTGCTGAAGTACAGAAACTTCCCTGCCTCGTTGAAATACAGGCTAAGACCTGAAGCCATGCCGTGATACATTGAAGTGACTGGGAATTGTCCACCCAGCTCCCCTGTGGTGTGACCCACCACTTCAGCTGCGTTTTCTTCTTCAGATGTGCCGGGGATAAACTTATCAGGAGGTTCTTCCCAGAGAGGGTGGGGAGGCACTGGGACAGGTTGCCCAGAGAAGCTGTGGATGCCCCATCCCTGGAAGTGTCCAAGGCCAGGCTGGATGAGGCTTGGAGCAACCTGGTCTAGTGGAAGGTGTCCCTGCCCGTGGCAGGGGGGTTGGAACTGGGTGATGTTTAAGGAGCCTTCCAACCCAAACCAGTCTATCATTCTATGGTGCCATGAAGCCAGAGAGCTCCAAGTCTTGATCTCTTCGGGTTTAGTGTTCGTGAACAGTATTGCGAGCAGTCAAAGATTGTCGTAATCCTAAATGTCTGTAGATATTTTTAAGTAGAGTTGGATTTGGGTTGTGTTAAGGGTACGAAACTGTTTAATAACAAACCTCACCAAAATGTGGTTTTTTTTCTTTGTCATTTGATAGCACACTTAAAAGAGAGGCTGGATGAGTATATTAAGCAGTGGAACGGCCTTGTGAAGGTATTTCGAAATGAGAGGAGAGAAGGTTTAATCCAGGCTAGGAGCATTGGAGCCCAGAAGGCTAAACTTGGACAGGTAGGAGCCAGCTCACACACAAGTCCGTCTGTTTTTTCCTTTTGGTGGGGAAGGGTGGGGGTGTTTCTGTGTTCGAATAGGCGTGTCGAAACATAGTACTGTGTTACTCATATTATTTTAAAAAGAGATTAATTTTACTCGTTTAAGCTTCACTCTTTTGTTTAGAACATTAAATGATTTCAGTGTAAAAAAGCTTAATTAAACCACCATCATCTCATGTGCAGAAATACAAATGGCTTTTTGTTGGCTTTCTTTTTCTTCTGAAGGTTTTGGTTTACCTTGACGCCCATTGTGAGGTGGGAATTAATTGGTACGCGCCACTTATAGCTCCTATATCTAAGGACAGGTAACGTTCTCCTGTTAATTCCAGTGTCTGGCCTCTTAGGAAGAAAGTGTCATAGTTACAATCTTCACTTCTCAAACTACAGTTAATACATTTTATGTCTCTATCAATGTATAGCAAACTACATCTGTATGTGCTGTATGATGATTTTATTATCTCCCAGCATAAAAGCTATGCAAGGAGGAAGGAAAAATAGGCAAATAAATCTCCAGATAGTTTATTTGAGTAGGCATACTGAGTATTTTGGATAGTATGGATTAAATATAAGGCAACTCTTCTCTTTCGCAGCAGTATGAGGGACAGTTATAAAAATGTTCTGTTCTAGCTGAATAAGCAGCCTGATTAAATGAAATAACTGACCAAAACCGTAGTTTTTGCTAGAGGAAAAGTAGCAGTAAATGTTTTGATTTAACAGGGTTTTAAAGCCCCTGTTACCCCAAGAGTTTTGTAACTTTCTCGTCTTTGGTTTTGCAATACGACCTCATTTTTTTCCTCTGAAGCACTTTGGAGCATTGGTTCTAGCAAACAGAGACCAGGGCCCAAGCGCTTGCTCGGAGTCAGCGGTGGAAAAGCCTTCTCTGCACGCGTGGGATCTGTGAGAGGTGGCAGAAGAGGGAGATCCCCAGGGCCTTCATTTCTTCCAGCTGATGAAATGTTGCTGTGTGCTACTGCACTCTTAGCTTGTGTGGTCCCGGGGGGGGAGGGTGTTTAGGAAACCTTGTGCTTGTTTAAACTCTTTAATCCCATAAAATAACTGCTTAATCCTACAAACTATTTGTTAACCTGTCGTACTACCAGAACTTATCTTGAAGAGGGCTTTTTTGTGTGTTTTAAAGGCTGTAGCTCAGCCTCAAGGCTGTTTGGGCCAGGATACTAGCAAGAGGGTGGAAATGCTTGTGTGCTTCCATCAAGTGCGTGTGACTCTCTTGCTCGAGAAAGGAAGGTGGGAACTGGCAGCTCTAGAGGCATCCTCCAGCACCGCTGTCAGAGGTGGAGGGTCCAGGAGGACCAGGGGTGCCGAGGTGTGTGGTGCTGGAGGGCAGCACCCAGCAGCCTTCTTCCAAGCCCTGGTCCCCTGGGTGCAGCGTGTTGCCGCTTCTGCCTCGACGAGCCCAGCATTAGCGCTCCTTCCCGCATGCATGCACACACTTGTTTTTCTGTCGCGTAGGATTTGACTTAGAAAGATGGAAGTGTTCTAAGTTTGGTCACCGTGAAACTCATTTGGAAAAATTGGGGAGAATAACAAGATACTGTCTTTTCCTTGGTGAATGTTCTGTATGATAGATCACAGTAAGGAGCATATTGCAAATCCAAAAGGAAAAATTCTATTGAAGACTGCTGCTAGGAGCACCAGTGACATCATTTTTTTGTCCTGTGATGTTGGGTTTGCGGGGAAGTTGAGTAGGACAGAATAGTGAAAATCCGTGTTTACACTAGTAAAAGCCAAGAGCTTATCGTACTTGCTGATAGCTAAGATCTGATTTGAATAGAAATTATGGGAAATAGTAATACTGTGGGGACTCCAGCCCTCTAAAGGCTCCACTGTTGCCTCCAGCAGAGCTTTATTAGAAGACCGATGTCAAGAAATACGCAAAAAAAGAAAAAGTATTGATAAATGAATTGATATATTGGCATTTCAGACCTAGCTTTTCAGTTTCAGAACCTCTTAAAACAACATAAAGAAAGGACAATCTGTTTTTTTTCTTCTAACGAGTCTTCATTTTTTTTAATATGCTTACAAGTGAATTTTCATACAATCTGCTCTGTAATAATTAATGGTGTGAGTTTCAGATGAGACAGATTACTCTTCTGAAATTGTATTTTGCTCTTTTTCCCTTCTATAAATGTTTCAGAACTACATGTACTGTACCTCTAATAGATTACATAGATGGGAATGATTATTCCATTGAGCCACAACAAGGTGGGGATGAAGATGGTTTTGCCAGAGGGGCCTGGGACTGGAGTTTGCTCTGGAAACGAATTCCGTTAAGCCACAAGGAAAAATCCAAACGAAACCATAAAACTGAGCCTTATCGGTAAAGAGAGCTGTTTACATACTGTGAATCGTAATGAATAATTGTCTAAACCCTTTCGTTTTTCCCTCCCCCCTCCCCCTCTTTTCCCATGAACCACGGTCGGTGCACGCGGGTCCCTGCGCATAACCGCCTCTTCCCTGCCACCATCCGCCACCCCGCAGAACCACATGCACTGTGCCGCTTATAGATGTCATAGACGGCAACACGTATAAGATTGTGCCCCAAGGGGGTGGTGACGAAGACGGGTTTGCTAGAGGAGCGTGGGATTGGAGTATGCTATGGAAGAGGGTTCCCTTGACCAAGCGAGAGAAGGAAAGCAGAAAGACAAAAACTGAACCGTATCGGTAATCACTAAATCACTTACCCATTTCTTTTTCTTCTGAAGTCGATATTGATCCACTAAAACTTGCATGTACCTCCAGCCTGAAACTCTTCACGTTTCTAACCACGCCCGCTGCTTTGGTTAATCAGACCTGTTTGCCACAGCCCACTGTTGGCTCAGAATACCTTTGTGTTCTGCTCTTGTGTGGTAAACACGGCGCGTGTTAGGATGACAGGGTTTTGTTTGGGAAAACATGAGACTTTCTTTCCAGGGAAAACCTCATTTAGCTATGATGCTTTTTTTTTTTTCTTTAAAGCAGTGTTGGAAACAACAGTGCTTATTTAACCATTTGATTTGAAATAACGAGCATGCTGTGAGTATTTATAATAGCTGGTAATGCATAAAATCTGTGTCCTGCTGTCACAGCTTGATGCATGCATACAGCTCATGGATTATGCATGTGCATCCAAAAAATCCCTTTTGTCATATTTCTCCCACTTGCTTCATAATAGATCACATATGACAAAGAAGCATACTGCTTAGAAAAGATCTAGCCAAGATTCATAAGGTCTCAGTATGTGTGGGGATTTTAGTTTCATAGTCATAACACAAAACCAAAACAAAACCAAAAAGAAAGGAAAAAAAAAATGGATTATGCATGTGCATCCAAAAAATCCCTTTTGTCATATTTCTCCCACTTGCTTCATAATAGATCACATATGACAAAGAAGCATACTGCTTAGAAAAGATCTAGCCAAGATTCATAAGGTCTCAGTATGTGTGGGGATTTTAGTTTCATAGTCATAACACAAAACCAAAACAAAACCAAAGAGAAAGGAAAAAAAACCACCCTCACAACCTTAATTTTCTGGGAATACTCTGAAAACCGTTGCGGAAGTCCCACCTTTTTCTTTCGCTTTGTAGGGGGGGTATGTTTTCTTCCCAGCAAACAGAAACTGGCTAGAAACCCAAGCTTAGAAACCAGGGTTTCTGGATTGCTTTTCAAGACTGGGAGACTGTGGTTCTGCTGGTTTTTATTACTTTCCCCTTCACACTTAACTAATCGTGTTACTGCATTTGAAAGCAATCCTCACATCTTCAGAATCTAATGTCTGCTGTTGCTTGTATATATGATTTAAACGTTGTCAGAACTGATGTTGGTAGTTCCCTATCCTCACCCATGATTGTTCTCTGCTAAAATGGCAACACATGCAAGGAAGTTATGAAGCTTTGATCTGTTTTGTGTACAGTATAAATAATAACCATTTTCTGACAAGGTTGTCTGCATTGGAACTTTAATATTCGCTTAGAGGGGGATAAACTATTTCAGACATCGCTGTTGTGTTCTGTGTTTACCATCCAAACAGGTCTTAAAATTCTTTAAACTGTTCCCAGAAACACAGAGCACATGTTCTCAGAATGGTTTAAAAGATGACTTTATTTTTAATAATGCTTTCAGAGTTACAGTGCTGCTTCTAAAAAGAGACATTGCCCGCATCTGTGTATGTCCAGGCTATATGCATTTTCTTTCAGCAATAGCAAGGCAAGTAAGACCAAGTAAGTCTGCTGAAACTGAAGCCAGGGCTGCCTAGTTTAAAAAGAAAACAAACCAAAACGAAGCCCCTCAACAGGGGGGGCTGTAGCGACAGGGCAAGGGGTAACGGGTTTAAATTGAAAGTGAGGAAGTTTAGATTGGATATCAGGAAGAAGTTCTTCCCGGAGAGGGTGGGGAGGCACTGGGACAGGTTGCCCAGAGAAGCTGTGGATGCCCCATCCCTGGAAGTGTCCAAGGCCAGGCTGGATGAGGCTTGGAGCAACCTGGTCTAGTGGAAGGTGTCCCTGCCCATGGCAGGGGGGTTGGAACTGGATGGTCTTTAAGGTCCCTTCCAACCCAAACTGTTCTGTGATTCCATGAACAGCTTAGAGCACAGAAACAGACTGTGATGTAAGAATCGCCCCAGGACTGAATCCTTTCAGAAATACTATGCTTGCCTCTTCATATCCTATAAAATAAACTACTGAGCTTATGTGGATTTTACTGTGTTCTTTAACACACTTGACAGCGCGTTGGAGGCCAAGACTGAAACTTCAGCATCTGAGGCCTCTGCGCTCGCCAAGTCTTTATGGTGCTGAGGAGAAGCCAACGTGCAGGAGAGCGGCAGGGCTGTGCTACGCAGCCTGCTTCTCCCTGCGGGTCGCACCGGCTTCCTGCCCTTCGAACCCCCGCCGTGTAGCAGCGGTGTTGGAGGAAGATGCAGTAAGCAGACAAGTAGAAGGGGACGTTTAGGAGTAACCCAGCATCTGGTCAGGTGATTTGGAGAGCGGCAGAACTGATAACCATTACACTTCCCTCGGCTGACAGACCCCGCAGCTCTGGTCTTGCTCTTGCCCTGCCCTGCTAGCCAGGGGGTGTGTAGGCTGACCCTGTGGGTTACCATTTCCTAAGCAGCTCTCCTCCGGGCATTTGTGTGCAGGAGGGAAATAGGTAATCACTGCTGTTAAAGGGAACGCTACTAAGTTGAAAATCTAATGGAATGAAGAGACTGAATCGGCCTAGAAAAGGCCCATCTCAATTCCATCACGAAGGAATACTTCACTTGCGTGAAACGTTTCGCTTGGCTCACCGGAGCGGTCTGGATTCTTGGAATTCACGTTTTCCTTACCAGTTAATTTTTTCCAAATTGCCAACTTAGTGGCAGCTTTTATCCATTAGGAGTTTTTATGTATTTATTGATCCTCAGGTGAAAAATGCTTGGTATGTGCACTGGAAATGGCTTAACATATCCTACTCTCTGTTTCAGCATGAGTGAGCAATCGAAAGAAGTTGGCTAGAGCCATTCTGCAAAATGCTGTAATCCAAACCACAATGTCTTTTTGATAGGTTAAAAGTTGCTAATTGAACCTTGGCCTTACAAAGCCATGTTAAAAAAAAACAAAACAAAACAAAAAAAAATAGAAACCTTGTGCAACTTGATCCAGGCCCTCTTAAAAGGATAATGCAAAGCATCTCATATGGCAGTGGTAGGAAAAGAGCCATGGGGAGAAGATAGAAAGGTATCATTTGGGTGGGAAAAAAATGTGTAGCTTGGGTAATCAACAAGAAGTTTGAATGTGGCAACTCCCCAGAGCATAAGCTTTAGGTCTGCTACACAGTCTCATCTGTTATTTCAGGAACTTGAACAACTTTCAGGAGAGATCTGTCTTGCCACACTGCATCTTACCTTTTTTATTTCAATCAAAGCACGTTGGCTGGCTGAATGGATAATTCCAAACAAAATTTTGTATAATTAAAAAAAAAAACTAACAGTGATTTCACTAGAAACGATACAGATGTCATTTCAGAAAATCACTGGAAGCTGATGACAAAGCTTTATGATTTTTCTGTGTATTGCCATTTATCTAATCTGTATTATGTGTTAACAGTGCATTGCTCCCTTAATTAATTCTTCTCCAAGCGTTATCCTGTCCTTTTGGCAGAAGGAGTTACCCTGTCTTCCTCTTCCAGGTCCCCCGCCATGGCAGGCGGATTGTTTGCCATTGAACGCGATTTCTTCTTCGAACTAGGTCTCTACGACCCAGGTCTGCAGATCTGGGGTGGGGAAAATTTTGAAATCTCTTACAAGGTAAGGCCAAAAACTGAAAACGGGCTCAGTTTAGCATATACATTGGTTTTTTTTCTGTAAGTGCTTCAGACCTACCTGTGATTTGTCCCACCTCTGTCTCACGAAGCCCGCTCGGTTTTGTTGTGAGATGTGACAGAGATGTGTGTCCTCTGCTTCCTTTGGGGCAGAGGTGTTCAGCGAGGTGGCCTGGTGCTGAGGCCCAGATGCTGAGTCATCCAGGTTTTGTTAATGGTTTGGGCTCACACACCCCCTCAGTAGATCATCGGAAACCGAAGCGGCAGATTTGGTGGCGAGGGCACTGAGTGCTGTCACGGCGAGTACAGAAAAGTGTGTCTCTAGGAAGTGATTCTAGAGAACGAGTAGCGCTCGGTTTGTGCATGTAAAGCGTCTAATGATGCAACCAAAAGTAACCTGCCCTGGTTTCCTCCTCCCAACCATTCTGAAAAATGATCTCATCTGCTTTTCAGAATTTCAAGAGCTTCTTTACAGGGGAAGTCTTCGTAATTGAAACGCTAACTACATCATTCATCATCGGAAGATTTTTATTTTCACTCCTAGGCATATGCATGCTCTTCAGTTAGCAGGAAACATAAGATGCCAATCGTTAGCTTCTTGTAGCTTCAGTGTTCATAATGACACAAGTGGCGGACGGCAGGAATCTCTCCCCGTTAACAAACAAAAGTAGCGACATCTGATATCCTCGGCAGTGCTCTGCGAAATCGGAGCTGGATTTTACCAAGAGTACATCCAGTGCTCCCCTAGGTACTCTTGCTCTTCATGGTTTGGAGGAAAGCTCTGAGTGCACTTGCTCAGCTGTAAATCCATATGCAAAAGGTAGTTATTGAGGCCGACACACACAGGATCTTTATCCTTCCAGTTCTCCCACCTTGCTTAGAGCTAAATCGTGATTGAAATTGCATAGAGTAGTTTTGTAACTGCAGTGCTGATTATGTAGGGACCTCCAGATTGGCTTCATGTAGATCACAGCCAGTCTGCGGAAGAACTCGGTAACATGCTGACACCTAGATACAAATATAAGGGCCTTGCATATCTGAGGCTTTAATGAAACTTCAGAAAATTAATAGGATGAGGCAATGTAGGAAGGAAACTATTTTGCCCATCTTTCCTAATACTGTTAAGTCATATCTGGAATTTGGACTAATTTGGAACATCCCCAAAGTTAGCTTGAATTTGGATCTGATGCTGCATTTCAAACTTGTCAGAACTATGAACAGCTACATTCAGATTTAGGTATGTTTTCCTCATAAGTGGATTATCCAGGATGTGTAGGAGGGAATGAATTTCCAAATGGTAATATGTTTCACCCATTTTTTACTTTCAGCTACTATAGTTAAAGAAAAATCTGTTTGTACTTGGAACAGTGGGTTACCAAAGACATCCTTATCTCCTACTAGTCTTTATTAAGAAAAACTTCAGTGTGGTGGGCTAACCAAAACCCATCTTAGTGATGGCATATGAATTGCTTTAATAAAATCAGAATATTATGGATTCTGTCATAATAAAAATTACCCAGTTCCGTATTTTCTGCACTCGTTCATTACTGTTGTTTTAAAATAGCAATGGGGTGAGACGGCAAACTTTTTTTAAAAGCTTCTAAAAGAGTAATTTAGTTGAGCAATTTCATGGCTGAGTTGAAGATGTACTCAATACAGCCTTTGATTTTAGAGACCTGTGATGTTTACATTTACCTCTGAAGCAAAAATACTGAACTATATCGCACAGTTGGTACAGAAAGAGAAGTAGTTGACATTTCCATAACGTGTTATCTCTTTGTCCATCTTCAATACTTGTGCATGTATATTTATATCTCCACCTTTGCTTTAACTCGTAGATCTGGCAGTGTGGGGGAAAACTGTTGTTTGTTCCCTGTTCTCGTGTTGGACACATCTATCGTCTCCAGGGTTGGCAAGGAAATCCTCCTCCAGTGTATGTTGGGTCTTCTCCCACCTTAAAGGTACCGTTTTGCTGCAACCTTGAAAGTGTTTTTTGATTTTGAATAACAGCGGGTTTTAGATAAATTTATTTACATTACCGATAGCAATTTAGAGAGCGCTTCATCCAAAGCTGTTTAGTGTCTAAAGTGAAGACGGTCATCCCCATGGGAGGGAAATCTTTGTGCCAATCCCACTGTTATTAAGAGTAGAGATTCTTGGAACCCACCTTCTTGCTCCACCCCTCCCCATCCCTGAGGTCCAAATCTCACTTCCTGTTACTCTCAGCACCCCAGGCCTTTGCTGGGCTGTGCCCAGCTGAAGTACAAACAACTCTAGTGAATACAGCACACTCCTGGAAGCGATGGTTTGAAATCTCCCTTTAGCTTGGTAGGTTGTGCTCCCAGGCTGAGTTAGCAAACGCTGTAATCGCGCATCTGTCAGACCTTTGTGGCTGCATTTGTTGGTTGAGAAGCAATGAATGACACCTGGGAAAACGGCATGCTCTGCCCTTCTTCATAAAGCTTGGTAACTCCTCGGGCACCTTGCAGGTTCAGAAGCGTTGCTCCAGCCATGATATTAAAAGTGCACATCCCCTCAAGAAACGAGTGAGACAGCTGCCTATATCTCAAGAGATAATTTGAATCAAGAAAAAAGGTTTCATACAAGTTTGCACCTACCAGCAGGACAGGAGGTGACCCTCCTGTTAAGGTTTCCTATAGCCTGGTTTAAGCTTCCTCTTGTACAGTGTTTTGGCACTGGTACATCCCATTCCCAGAGACCCAGTTCTTTGTAAATTCCAAACCCAGAGCTGTCTTCCTAGACATTACCCGTGACTATGACTACTGGTAGGGTTACTGAGTATGGCTTGAGCCAAGCTACCAGTTGGTTCTGTTGAAAAGGGAATGTCCCAGCCTTGCTTAATGTTAGAAAGCTAACTTAGTACCCAAAAAAAAAAAAAGTACTCTATTAGTATTGTGAATTGATGAACATTTTGGTCAAACGAGCACTAGGACCAGGACAAGGGAGGGTAGGGGTAAGTGGGAATAGCTGGGAGTAGAGAAACAGCAGTCAGAGACAGGATAGCAAACTTACAGCTCTGTTACTCCATGCAGGCAAGATGTTTGTCCGCCTTGTTTGAAGTTATAAAAACCATTCCATTCTTCTGAAAAGCTGCTCAAAAATGTTTACTGCCTATCCATACACCTTACATAGGTCTGCCTACTGAATAGAACAAAACGCTGATGCGCATTCTCAATATGTAAGTTGCTTCTGCGTTCAAGGCAGGATGCAGAAATAGCTTTCTCCCTCTTTGGATACTCTCCTATTCCCACAGTACCTGAGCTTTTTTTTGTAGCTTTGTTCAGTTAATGCTGGATGTGGACTAAAGTAAAACACACAGTAATTTGTGCCTTTAGTCAGATCTGTTAAGACAGGTCATTAACGCTAGAGGAATGGTACAAGTGAGGCGTGCGGCTAGAACGTTTACAGGTGATACAGAGATAAGAGCCACCAAAGAGACTGAGAAGAAAGAGGTGAAGGAGAGGCTTGTTCAGTAGGTGAGCTTATCCATTTTTTCCCCTTCTCCAAGCAGCAGTAAACTGCTTACACAGATAAAATCTCCTTGGTGTGTGATAAGACTTAGTTTTTTCACCCTTAGTGTGCTAACGCATATCAGTCTTTCCATTAAAACCATAGAAGGTGAATACAAACTCTGAATTGCAGTTCTGGTACACGGCAAATTATTGCAACGCTTTATTGCACCCATAACTGAAGAGTTTCTGTTTTCAAAATAAACATTCTCTAAACTTAGATTAAGACTTTATACTCTCATTAAGCAAGCCAGTTTATTTTGTTGGCTTCAGTCCTAAGCTGTCATTTGAAAATAATATAGAATCTCAGAAGGGTTTGGGTTGGAAGGGCCCTTAAAGCCCACCCAGTCCCACCCCCCCTGCCATGGGCAGGGACACCTTCCACTAGACCAGGTTGCTCCAAGCCTCATCCAGCCTGGCCTTGGACACTTCCAGGGATGGGGCATCCACAGCTTCTCTGGGCAACCTGTCCCCGTGCTCCCCACCCTCTCTGGGAAGAACTTCTTCCTGATACCCAATCTAACCCTCCCCACTTTCAATTTAAACCCGTTCCCCCTTGTCCTGTCACTACAGGCCCTTGGAAAAAGTCCCCCCCAGCTTCCTTGTAGCCCCTTCAGGTACTGGAAGGTGCTGTAAGGTTTCCCCCGAGCCTTCCCTTCTCCAGGCCGAACAAGCCCAATATGTATGAGTCTTGTATAATCTGCTGAAGGCGACAAACTACTAGTGCTGTATAATAATTTAATGCTATCACTTTTTAAGAGAAGAAATCCTTAAATTTCTGGAATTAACATGCAGTTCTGTCTGACCTGTTGCGTGTGCTCTGAGGTAGCAGCAATGCCCTTGTTCTTCACAGAACTATGTCAGAGTTGTGGAAGTGTGGTGGGACGAATACAAAGACTACTTTTATGCCAGTCGGCCAGAAACAAAAGCGCTACCCTATGGAGATATATCTGAGCTGAAAAAATTTCGTGAAGATCACAACTGCAAAAGTTTTAAGTGGTTTATGGAAGAAATAGCATATGATATAACTTCATATTATCCCTTACCACCTAAAAACGTGGACTGGGGAGAGGTAAGTACAGCACATAACCTGTGTTTACTTTAGGAGCTTTTTTAAAAAAAATTCGGAGCACAAAAGGAAGCGATTGTTACTTAACCTCAGCCTTAGAACAGGTTCCTTGATTTCTGCTATACTAAGGTATATGATACCAGCTAGAGACCTAGAGAGATGTAACCCAAGGAAAAAATTATTATATACTTTAAGAGGTGCACTTTTTTTAATTAGCTCCATAGTTCTTTATTTTATCCCTGGCCCTGCCTTCAGTTATGCCTAAAGCTGTTTTTCCATAATTGGAATTTAGGGTTGGGTTTTTTTTAAGAAAAAATGTGAATCTATGTGCGTGGGAGTATTGGCAGAGATTAATAACTGAAAATCCTTTCCAGTGAAGGCATAGAGGATAGATAGTGAAACCTGGGCAGAGTATGTTCTGCTTCATTTGCTAGCCTGACATGCACTCGTACAGTTGCAGCGTCAGTAAATCCCTTATCAAGTCTGGGTTTTTTTTTTCCTTTCAGTTGGTTTCAGCCATGCCCTGTGTCTCCTATTAATTTCACTTTTCAGATGGCAGAGGCAAAATCAGCAAATCATCTCACTAGCAGAGGAGAACTCCTGTGTCCCACCAGATTTAACCACCTCTTTCCCCAAGACGCGATGGATCCGTTTTTGTAACTTCAGAAGAGCGTTAGAAAGTAGACATCTATGCTCTTTCCTGTGGCCAAGAGAGCGTCATCTCTTTTTTTTCTCTCTGAGTAATTAGTGATACAGAGCATGTGCTTGGTGGAAGAGGGTACAAATAGTCGTCTGTCTGAGGGACCAGGTGAACAAGGCCACCTCTGTTTCCTACCTAAATCTAGCAGAAAGCATCAGTTACTGCGTTAGTCTTAGACCTCCTTCAGATCCATGTGAAGGGTTAGGAAGGCACGTTAGGTATTACTGTTCGCTGAGGTGAAGGTACCTCAAGAGAAAAAATAGTAATGGCCACCTTGCAGGAAATCATCCCTGATAACGGCGAGTGGCTCTGGGGAAGCAACAGGAAAGTCTAAAGTTCAGAGCCATCTCTGAAGTTTTCTTCAACTCTTCTTCACTGGCTGCCAGTTGTCCTACACCTGAGATTTTTTTTTTTTCGTACCTATTTGTAACTCCACACTAACTGCATTTCCAGACTGTTGGGAATTAAAGTGTGGGGTTCATCTGCCCTGAGGCTCTCTCTGGGAGTCAGGTCTAAGCTTCGTCCTCCAGACTTTCTTCTGCTGTCACAAAGAGGCGCTGGCAAAGAGAATCGGTTTGGCAAGAATGTTATTTGTGTCACGAAGTCTTTGTAAGGCTGTTTGTTGGCCTTCTGAGAAGGGAATGGGATAATCGGCAGTTGAGGCCTGCTTTCTGCCTGGGCTTTTGTTCTTTACCCCTGTGCCTGCTCCTCATCAATTTTCTTTTTTCCCCTCGTAACTGGTGCTGCAGACAGTAGTTCCGAGCAGCCACGTCAGTGGGCTGTGCCTGGCTGCACTTGGCAGCGGCTATGTGGAACTTCACATTTCTTTCATCCACGAGATGAGAGCAACTTAGCTGAGCTCCCGCTTTATTCATGAAGACCTGGGAGACTCAACATACCTTAACAGGAGATGGATAAATTAACATACTTGAAAGTCCTACGTTTTGGTGTCATTAATTTGGAAGTGAGCTTTGCAGCTCTAGCTTCATCAGTGTACTCTAACTCAAATAAGAGCCCACCGATGAGCATGGTCAGCTTGAAGCTCCATCTCCCAGGATGCCTAACATCAGTATTTAAATTTCATACACAGTTTTGTATCATAGCTCTTTGGCAGATACCTGTTTCTGGTTTGAAAGGTAAGTGGGGATTTTCTGAGGTCCTTCGCGCTTATTTTTTGCCTTGAAACTGACTTTGAGTGCAAAACCTTTTTTTCCAGATAAGAGGCTTTGAGACTGCTTACTGTATTGATAGCATGGGGCACACCAACGGTGGCTTCGTTGAGCTTGGGCCGTGCCACAGAATGGGAGGAAATCAGGTAAGGGGCTTGGAGGAGAATCATTTGCTGTGGATGGTAACAGGCAGGTTTTCTGTTAAGCCTGTACGTAGAGTCAATTAGGTGCTAGCTGCCAAGATGGGAGTTTGGGGTTTTACATAAGCAACTGACCTTGCTAAAGCAGAGGAATCTGAAAATACAGTTTCAAACACAACAGGTACAGCATTGGAGGCAAATTCATAATCTCTTCTTCAGTGAACTTGAGGAAGGAAGGACTTGTGTTTCCATCAACCCTATCACTGCATTAAAACAACTGCAGCTCTTAGCATTGGTTCATCATTCACCTAATTCATCCTGCAGGGAACAACCCCCTTAACTCATTTTGCCTCAGTTATTTCAGAAAGTTGGTTTGCTTTAACGGAAGTACAAAACACTTTTTGTACTGTAGCTTCTTTTCCACCCTAGGAGACAAGAAATTGAATGCACATTTGTCTCTGTTTTGCTTAAAAATTAATTGGCAGAACATAATTACTAATAGATGGTTGCAATCCAAGCTGCTATCATGTTTGACCCGTATCTTCACAAACCTACCCACACTGCCACAAAAACACTGTGTTCTGTATTGACATCCCCTTTTTTGTTGAAAAAGTTTTCAGTATTCAGATTCCTTATTTACGCTGACGTAGACCTGCCCTTTTAGTAGGGCAGCCATGAAATTGCGTGCAGAGCGATGCTTTTAAAGATTATATTTGGGTTAGCTCTCAGTAGCCCTTGGAAGTGTCTTTTTTAATTTTGATTTTTAATGAAAAAGTTCCCTCAACTACCTTTTCTGTAGACTTTTCCCCCCAAACCCCTGTAACAGTTGTTGAAATAGGAAGTAGCTAGGGTAATTGTTTGTATCGGGATGCATTAGTTTGATTTCTTCCATGGGTAAAATGCCAGCATTTTTACTGTCTTCACATGAAATTACTGCCCAGGACCAAGGACTTGCTACCAGACCTTTAGAAAGGCACTGGATTGTTTGGCTGTTGCATCATACAAAGGCTTTTAATCAAACACTTTCAGAAGTCTCCCAAATAGGGATCCCTTTATTTTTATCATTTTTGTCTTGCTAGGTAAGATTCTTAGCCTTGTAAATCCTGCAGTAAAGTTCTCTGTGAAATTGCATGCTGTGACAGAAGTGTGTCACACCGCGTTAACGACCGCTTCTGAAAGACAGGCGCAGTAACACCAGACGGTATTCTGGGCCATGGAGTTTCGTTGGTATTTCCAGTGTTCCTAAAACACTTGTTATTTTGAGTCGACTGTTAAAAAAGTGGTGCTTTTTTTTTGTTTGTGTTTTTT